GGGGGGGGTACCTGGGATTGAACTCAGGACCTTGCACTTGCTAGGCAGGCACTTATGCCGCTGAACTATCTTCTCAGCCCCTAAATGTTATCAATTTTGAATTGTTTTTTATTTATATTTTTTATTTTTTTGACAACTCATACAGAATTTTACTTAACAAAGTAATAGGAATTTCACAGTATTTGTTGTAATACACAGTATTGTCTTACAACCAGCTATTCATATTACCAGATATATACACATAAAATTGGAAGAAGAAGAAAACTGGAGCAACGTATAAGAAATTAAGAAAAGAAAAAGTACAAACAATTGAAAAAAGGAGACGAAGCTAATTAGAGCACTGACTGCTTCTTTCCATTTCCATTTTTTTTCTAATTTTTATTTATTTATTTATTTTTTGTCCTGTCAGAGGTGAATATTCTATTGGCATCTAAATACTATAAGTGTTTGAATTCAACTAAACAATCTAACACTGTCTAGCAGTCTATAATATTAGTGGGTTATCCTCAGAAGTTATTGACTTGAGCTTGAATTGTTTTTTCTAATACTTTTTCTAGAACGACACTGGTCATTTTCTCTGGGACCATGGCTGTTCAGACATTCAGTCTAGCACTGTTTTGGCTGTGTCTGTGATGTTTACCTGGGTGAGGTTGAATTCTGAGCTTGGAGACTGTGTAAAGCAGAATGTCTTACTCAGGGCGGGTGGGCCTCACCCGATCAGGTGATGGCCTGGCTAGTAGAAAATTCTCCTGCTGGACATTCTTCCTGTAGTGACAGCTGCTCTTCCTGGTCTCACAGCAGTCTGCTGATGTTTGGAATTAACCCGAGGCATTGCTTTGCAGATGTTGGGCTTGACAATCTCCGTGGACACACGTGCTATTTCCTTATGACACATATGTATTTATATACCTTCTCATAATAGATGTAAGTATAAAAATTTGAATTGTTAATAATGAATATACAGTTGTATATTTACACCTCTCTATATTCTATTTTCCTTAGAGGACCCTAACAAGCGGTCCACTGACGGGAGAGTCATAGGGTTTGGCGTCCCCCTGTGTTGCGGAGTGGAGTGGGAAGGGGACGGAGCCGCTGCTCCGGGCAGCGCGGCACTGCGGCTGGGGCTGATGCGAGGACTCAGCCCCGCTGCTTAGGGGCTGATCCCGACGTTGCCACTGGGTGGCGCTACGACCACAGAGAGACCTGCAGGTCCCGGACTGCCCCCAGGGACTCTGTTCAACTCCTTGAGACCCTGAACTGACTCCTGGCGTGGGCTTCCCTGTGTTACGCACTGTCCACTAAAATGACAATGAGGGCCCCAGACAGACGACCATGGTTCTGGGGACGTGGACTACACGAAAGGCCCGTGCTGCGGAGCCTGGCCTCAGCATGCGGGGTGTGCTCAAGTGCACGTGAGATTTACGACCTCCGCCCCACAAACGGGACAAGGGCACAGAGCAGCTCGGTGCTCCGGGTCACGCAGCCTGCAGCCAGGGCACAGGAGCATAACCCGGGCAGTGTGATTAAGAGTCACTCTTGTTTCTGTTCCTTCTGCTTCTTGCCTTCTTCCCTTTAACTGTGCATAGTATTTGTTTTACTGAGCTAAAATTTATGCGCTATGAAGCACACTCATGGGAAGCACCCAAGCCAGTGAGTTTTAGCAAATTCACAGTGTTGTGCAACTCCCACAGTCCACGGTAAGATCCTTCCCGTGTCCCTCGGGGTCCCTCTGCCTTCTGTGGTCCCCCATCCGGGACACTCTGCAGCAGTGCAGCGAAACCATGCCGCTTGCTCTTTGGTGCCTGTCTTGCGCGCCGGGCCTGGTTGGGGGGGGGGGCCCTCCGCGCCAGCGCATGCGCATCCGTGTGCTCTCGTCTTGATGAGGCCAGAGTCGCATGCCCAGAACTTTCTACAATTTTATTTTGAGACAAGGTCTCTCCAAGTCATCCAGGCTGGCCTCAAACTTGCAATTCTCTTCCCTGAGCCTCCAGAGTGCTGAAATTACAGGTGTGTGTGCCACACCCAGCTCAGAGTATTTTTTCTCCTTCCTTTTGAGTCTTTTCTTTTTTTGTATTTTAGGGAAGGGTCTACAGGGTATTCAGGGTCTCACTACTAGATCAGACTTGTAGTGATCTGCCTGTTTACAGCCTCCCAAGAGTGCGCACCACCACGGCACAAGCTCTGCTCCTTATAGCTTTAGAGCTCTGGTCGCATCCTGCCCGGCCCTTTCTTCAAGTCACTCTTAGAAATTGTACTATAACTGTGCAAGCTCCCACGTGCATCTCTACATGACATGGACCCTTTTTATAGAAAAGAAACCTCATCACTTTACCAATTAGAATATAGACAATAGACGTTACAACAATATTAGTGTCACTAATCATTCATAGCCACATTCGCGGTTCTCCTCTCTGTTCTTCAGATGGTTGAATAGGATTCTGCAGTGTGTTTGGGGGATTTTAAGATCTGCTTCCGGCTTCCCTCCGAGGCTGGTGCCCACGCCTGCCGGGGTATGGACTCAATCTTGAGCGCTCTAAGCTTAGCACCAGGGAAACACTGAACATTCGGCTTTACCAGCCTACCTGTTTGTTTATTTATTTTTGTGGCTGGCTCAGCCCACCCTGGGAGCAGGACTGTCAGAGTGTATGGTGCTGGGGATAGAACTGCAGTCCCTGTGTGCTTGCCTAAGCAGGTGCTTTAGACCACTGAACTATCTCGCCGGCCCCCGCCTGTTTATTGACAGCTCACTGAGAGAGTGAGCCACACCTGCACCCTTCTTCTTTCAACTTACCCACCTTGATCACCCATATCTGGTGCTAGGAGGTGGCAGTGGGAAGGTGGCATCCTTACCTGTGGTTGTGGTGGTCCAGTTGCTCTCTGTTGGGGTGGTCTCGTTGTCCTTGCTGGCCCTGGCAAGTGGCAAGCTAAAACCAGCCAGCAGGAGAGGACAGAAGGGCTCCATGGCGAACCTGTGGGGAGGATGAGACAGACTCAGTGGAGCCCCCTGCTGCAGGCCCTGGTGACCCCCATCCTTTGTGATGACGAGGAGAAAAAGAGCCCAGCACTCTGCTCGCTGGAGTGGATCATCTCCCTTCACCTTCACTGGGCTGGGGGATGTCCTCCCTGTCACCACTCAGGTGCAATGGAGGGAGCTCAGAGGCCCAGCTCTGCTGGTGGGCGGTCGGGGCAGAGCAGGTTCTCGAGCCCAGGCCCTGCCCTCCCGCTCACTGGCATCTGGATGTCTCAGCTGGCATCCTGGAGCCTTTACCATGTGACCCCAGCCGTTCCTGCCGGCCCCTCTCCTTTCCAAACCTCGTTTTCTGGCCAAATCACACTTTTCCTACCCAGCAAGGTCCACACTTTCTCCTTTTTTTCCTGGTCTCCCTTCACTCTGCTGGGCAATGTCACACTCTCTATGGCTCTGCCTAGAGGTCCCCTGGGTCTGGACAGCAGGCTCGTGAGTCAACTTTGCCCACCCACTACTTGGCCGCTGTGCACCCTGGGAAGGGAGCGAAGTATTTACTGGGTGTTGCGTGGAGGTGAATGCGCTGGGGCAGACCCAACTACAGAATGGCTCAGCACAGAAGGTGGCTCTTGCTGGAGACCCGCAGGTGGTCACCCCATAGCCCCGGGGCACCGCTTTGCTCAAACACATTCCCATAGCCCCGGGGCTCCCCTTTGCTCAAACACATTCGACTGTTGTTACAGGCCACAGTGATTGCTTGCGGGTATGGAAACTTGCTGGGGGATTCACCAGGGGGGCACTGGCCACGCTACCTGCCCCTGAGACTGCAGCCGAAGAGGGGGGTCCCATCCCCTGACCCGCACCCACAGTCAGCCCAGGGGCTCGGTTCTGTCTCCACTGGCAGCGTCATCCTGCATGGAACCTCCCGGGGATGCGCATGGCTGGCCTTCAGGACCAAAGCAACGAACCCCTGCCCCCCGGGCTGTTCTCAGGGGCAACACCAGTGCGTGCAGCTGGGGCAGACACCAGCGTGAGCACAGGAAACCATTTCTTAGCAATCACAACTGTGAAGAGGAAAACCTTCGGAGCACCTTTTAACAGCTAGCCCTGAACGCCTGGACAGCGGCAAGCACCACTTTCTTGCCTCTCTCGCATCGTTGCTTTTTTATTTCCCTCACACACATTGAAGATTTATTTACTTCCTTTTGATTCTAGGGATGAAACCCTGGAGTCAGGCATGCTGGGCACGAGGGCCCCGCCACTGCACTGCAGCCCTTGCCTTTTGGGCCAAGGTTGCCTGTGCTGGCCTTGAACTTGTGATTCTCCTTCCTCAGCCTCCCAAGCAGCTGGAATTATAGCTGCAGGCCACCCCATATGGCTTCGCATTTTAGATTCATGAAGTAAGCCGCACACACACAAATAGGCTCTGTGCCCCAAGTGAGCATCTGCTGTGTGTGGGACCCTTTACACAGGTGTTGCCAGGCTCCTGGAGGGAGAGGACCAGGCCTAAAGTCAGGATGGAGATTTGAACAGGCCATGGTTTGAATCCACGAATGCCAGAGACAAAAGCCCTCTACCTTTCCCGCGCTGACCTGGCCCTCCCTCGACAGATGGCTCTGCACACATCGCCACACGCTGCCTTTATTTTAAGAAGATCTGCTGTTGCAGGTTGCCGTGATACTTTTAATACACTGGAGTAAATTACAGAGCAATTGAGAAGTATTAATTGACTTAATACACCTTTGGAGATGCAGAATTCCTGGCTGAGACAGTTTGTCTCATATCACACATTAATTTAATAGCTCTCCTCTTCAAATGCTCCATCGCCCTCGAGGAGGCCACCACCATCCAGAAAGACAAAGATCACTTCACTCCTTTAATAATAGCTAATGGAAGTCCGCTAAGAGCTCCGCAGAGCTGCCTTCCCTGGCATGACCAGCAGGGGGCGATAAACTCGCAGACTTCAAAACCTGTCGAGCCATCTGGAGCCTCATTTGCGCCCCACTTATACTCTGAGGCCAGGGACAACTTGCCGGATCATCCTTGACCCTCTCCTCTCAAAGGACTTGCCCAAGCTACCTGGGAGGAAAAGGCACGAATCTGAATGGATGTTTGAAATTGGAGTTAAATCCATGCTGGATTTTCAGGATTTGTATTTAAACACTTTTTTTGGGGAATGCCTGCCAAATGCTACGTGTCTGGTGCTTAAAACTTATATGATCTCCAGAAGTGAGATGATCAAAATAGTTTATACCTAGCAGAGCAGACTTTATTTTTACTCCCCTCAAAAGTCATGCAGCTGTCAATTTGATCAGAAATCCATTTTTTTTTTATTCCACTTATAAGAGCTTTTCAATACTCTTCACTGGGCAGTGAGCAGGATCAGGCTGCTTGCAAGGTTCTGGAGCTACAAAGCTGAGTGCTGTCCCATCTGATCCCTACAGCGGCCCACTGGGATGGAAGGGTGGCCAGCAGCCCCATTTGAAGGAGATTGCTGGGTGACGTGCATAATTCCTGGGAACATTTGAGGCTAAGACCTAAGCTCCGGGACAGGGGGAAGCAAAGGAGAAAAGGGTGAGAAGGATCTCAAAGGCAGGGCCCTGGCCTAGGAGTCAGGCTGCAAGCCACTGGGATTCCCATCTTGGGAAGTGGGGTGGGAAGCTCCAGCATTTGTTAGCAGAGACGGGGGACAGAGATGACTTGTAGCTTGTGGCACAAGGCAGTAATACACGCTACTTTTGCTGAGCTCCTATGAAGGAGTGCGACAGGCTAGCTGAGACTCTGAGCTAAGTGGCTGCATTAACCATCACCAAAATTCCATGGTCAATGTCCTGTCACCCTCGGAGTGGAGACGACAGAGGATGGCGGGGCATCCTAGTGGAAAGTGCCGTGTGAATTGTGCTGGGGATCTGGGGCTTGGTCAAGAGGGGTGGGCTGTAGAAGTGGTGGGTGTGTCAGGAGTTATGGGGAAGTGACAGTGAAGACTGAGTGGAACAGGCCATTGCATAGGACAAGAGGGTGAGGTGCAAAAAGTAGCACTGGGACAGGGCAGGCAGGAGACAGCAGAAGCAGATAAGCAGAAGCAGGCCAGGGACCCTCCTGCTCCCCCTGGCTTCCCCTGACTCTGGCCCAAATCTCATCCTCTTGCTGGGGGGCCCCTTTTTACTTTTCCCCACAGCCTTTGAAGTTAAGTGAATCCAGGACCCGCTTCCTTCCTACCTGGAGCTGAGGAAGCTGACCCAGGCTTGCACCTCTCAGGGAAGAAGCCATCTCTCGTTCCCCAGCCCAGCCCAACTCACAGTGGGTGATAAGAGCAGTGGAACTCAGGTACCAGCGCTCCACCTGTGTGTCAGAGAAAGGAGATGCTCCTGCTGTGGCTGGCACTAAAGATCAGGCCCTACTCTTGCTCCAGTGCCAGTATTAGGTCCCCAAGGGCATCTACACAGGGCAGTCCCCACGACACGCCAGTCAGTCATCACACACCAACCAGCCAGATTCAGTGTCAGAAGCAGAAGAGAGGGATGAACACCAGCCGGGCTCATTTCCACTTCCACAGAATTGGCAACCAAGAGGCCGACGCCCGTACGTGAAAAATCAAAGGTGAGTGCGTAGGACAAGGAACGTGGAGCCCTCCTTGAGGGGGTGGTCTGCGTAGCCCAGAGGCCCCTCCTCACCTTGATTTCCTGATCCTGGATGAAGATGCTGGAACAGAGAGGCCTTTTAGGTCACTCTGCCCTGCTTGGGGGTGTGGCGCCTTCAGCTGTGACAGTAGCTGCCTCACACCTGTGCACAGAGCCTGGGCCATGTGTGTTGTATGCCTTCCCACATCTGAACTGGGCATACAGGTTGTGGGCCCTTCAAAGGTAGCTGAGAAAAAAGATGGCAAGGCACTCGCAGGTGCAGAAATTCCCAGCCTGGGACAGCAGCAGATTCAAGGCCACCTTCGCTGAGGCTCTATGTGGCTCAAGAGCCCTTGCTGCCTGGAAGACAAGAGGCTACCTTTGCCACAAAAGGAGAGGGCTGGAGGCAAATGCAGGAGGGCCCACATTCCTTAACTGGAGGCGAGGACCACTCCTGGCTTCTCTCGAGCTTAAAGAAGGTGGCTCACCTGCTTCTCGAAAGTTCTGTATGTGCTGACACAGACCGGCAAGCTCAGCGGTCTCTGAATCCAAGTGTTCGTGCTGTGAATTTCCTGGGAAAGTCGGGACCATCCCAAGTCACTGCCTGTTCTTGTTTTGAGCTGGGGAGGTGACAGGTGCCCAGTGTGAACTCAGCTTTTCTGCTTCCCCTAAAACACAGGCTCCCCAAGGGGGGCTGCGCCAGGGGCAGCATCTGCAGTCAGACCAGGGTCTCTGTGCTCATTCTTGTCTATCTGAGCTCCTTCAGTAGCACAAAGGGACAAGTGTGGCCCCTTTCAGGTGATCTCAGCCTGCTCTGGGGGCTGCCAAAGCCTTGATGCGCCAACAGATAACATGAATGTGGCCGTAGACGGTGCCGCGGGACCATCCACGGGGCCCGCTGCCCCTTTCCCAGTCTCCATGTGATGAGCACACTCAGTCCCACATGTCGCCATTAGGCAGGAAAGTGACAGGTGGGGGCTGAGCCCCACTGTTTTTACCTACTACCCACCCCAAGAGCAAGAAGTCCTTTGTCAGTGTCAGCCATGTGGATGAGTCATGGCCATTGCTTGGCCAATGTGCTTTCTAATGTCCATTTTATATCTGGGTATTCAAAATGGTTAGGATAGATATATGGTTACATTCTCTTAATGAATAGAGGGATTTGTTGTAATAGTGTTTGCAAATAGGATATCATGTCTGCATCTTGTACAGCAAATAACCACTAGGAAGAATGTATGCAATGTGTTAATTATTGAAATTGTCCTACCAATTTAGTTTGAAACTGTCTCATTGCTATTTGTTTCTCAATAAAATTTTGGAAAAAAAAAAAGAAGTCCTTAGCTTTTTGACAAGGATGAGGACAAACAGGGGACAAATGTTCCCA